TTGCCCTTGTTATGTTAGCATGAAAGCTCACCTTTACCCGGTCACATAAAAATGTACAAGAAAATTTATACGTGAAGCCTCGTAACCAATCGACATGCAAAAATACCCGAAAATATTCACACATGAATTCATTTATCCATCAGGCATCGCTTTCTCTACACGTGGGTGACGGGTCCTCCGGAATCCTTTGAGCATCCGAAAACCTTCGGCTTATCAATAAACACACATACCGACATACATATAAGATTCATTTATCGTCATCTTGGCGCAACCAGGGCATCCCGGCTCAACCGAGGCATCCAGCTTCATGCTAGGCATCCTGGCTCAACCGAGGCATCCGGCTTCATGCTAGGCATCCCGGCTCAACCAAGGCATCCCGGGGCTAGCACATCCGAGGCATCTTGGCTCAACCAAGGCATCCTAGCATAACTAGGGCATCCCGGCGCTAGTTATCGAGGCATCCGAGCTCAACCCAGGCATCCTAGCTCAACTAGGACATCCCGGCTCAACCGAGGCATCATCACCAACGCTATGTGACGACGATCTTCTTCTTTCATTTAGTGATCACACATTATGGATCGTACAATCCGGTATATTATCCTCTATCTTACTCCATGTATACAAGGCCTAGTTGTATGTACTCATGAAAAGCTCACAAGATCATAATTCAATAAACATGGTTAAGAACATCAACATATCACACAAACTACCGCATCCAAGCGTCATGCAACCATGCACAAGAACAAAACCATTTCAAGCAACAACAACTTCCCAAGCTGTGTTCCAACCACGAAACAAATCGCCCTATCTAAGTGCTAGGGAATTCACTCACATGCCGCGTTCCAACCACGTAACATGCCGCTCTATTCAAGTATTAGGAAATCCACTCACCTATAAGCACAAGAAAACGTCTACGGGGGTCGAACGGGAAAACGGCGGTCGGCTGCTGCGAACGGGCGAGAGAGAGAGAGAGAGAGGTGATTGGCGTGAGGGTGAGGGAGAGAGAGGGAGGCGTGAGAATGAGAGATGAGAGAGGAAGAGGAGGTGGTGTGTGGAAACTAAGGGGGATCAAGCCTATTTATAGACAAAGCACTAACTTGTTCACCAAGTTTAAGAGTCAAAACTTGCTCCCCAAGTTCTTGACTCTCTAGAATCCTGCAAGATCACTCAATTAATGAAGATCTTATAAGACAAGATTCTCATAATGATTAGCCGTCAATTAATGGTTCAATGTTGTCTTGGTCAATTCGGCTTCTTGCTCCCCAAGCTTGGTCGAGTAGGGCTTGTTCTTGTCCATCAATGGCACTTAAGGACAACCAGTTCATGGCATTTAAGCATAACCTCCGAAATTCCAACGTTCTCATATGAAAAATGATGAATCTTTGAAATCTAGCAAAACCGGCAATTTTTGCACTGTTCTAGAATTCGGACTCGAAAACATAGTAAATAGACTCCGGAAATTCTTAAATTTGAATATGTCATAAAAAAGACCTTAAAAAATATTTCCCATGAGAACACGAAAGTTCTCAACAACTTTTGTGAAGGAAGTTTGTTCAAATTCGGCCCAGAAAATTTTGTAGAAAATTGAGAAAGTGTGAACATTACAGAAATACCCATTTTGGGTAGTTTTACAAGGTCCGAAAATTAGGCAATCGTACTACTCATATCAAGTTCAAAAATTCTGAAATTAAAGTATGTAAAACTTCAAGATGTTTGGAGAAACTTTTAAGAAGGAAGTGTTTGGGAATTCGGATCACAAAAGTTTCCACAAAAATAACAAAACGAAGGGGTAGAGAGGATCCGAATATGGGTTTTCCAGAACAAGAGTAAAATTGACTTCGATTGGGAAAACCACCAAACTTAAACCATAGCCATTTCCCAGATATTGAAATTGAGGATGTTACAGCAATGATTCCCCAAGTTTAATGCAGAAACCAGTGACAGACCTTCGGCTCATAGGGCAAGATGCATAATCCATGTCACAGTAGGCTATCATCTCCATGTTACATCTTCGAGAAAGAAGTATCCCAAGTCTTGGGCATTTCTTCAAATATTTCACAACTTTGAAAGCAGCATTCATATGAGACTGTTTCGGACTATGCATGAATTAACTAAGTGTCTGTACTGCATAACATTTATCAGGTCTAGTCATGGTGAGGTAAATAAGCTTTCGAACATGTCTTTGATAGCTTGATGGGTCCTTGAGTAATTGATCATCTTCTGGAGATAATAAACCCGCATCATAATCAACTGTGGTTAATTTGGCATTTTGCTCAATGGGAATAATAGCTCGTTTGCATCCTGATAAACCTGCTTTTGATATAATTTCCAGGACGAATTTTCGTTGGCTAAGAGAAATGCCTTGGTCTGAACGGGCAATCTCAATTCCAAGGAAATATTTAGGTGATCCCAAATCCTTAATGTGAAAAGTGGAATGCAGGTATTCTTTAAGACTCTTGATAGTAGATTCATCACTTCCCATAATAAGCATGTCATTAACATATATCATTAAATAAATATATGACATACCTTTCGCCAATGTGAACAAAGCATAATAATGTCTGGATTGTTTGAATGCTGCAGCTGTAAGTGCGCTGGTAAATTTGGCGTATCATTGTCGGGAAACCTGTTTGAGACCATAAAGGGATTTGTGGAAATGACATACCCTAGACTCCCCCTGTCTCCGTAAACCCTATGGAAGCTCCATATAAATTTCTTCATCCAAATCACCATGGAGGAAGGTATTGTGAACATCCATTTGATGTAGCGGCCAGTCATGAAAAGCGGCAATCGATAAGAAGGAGCAAATTGCGACGTCCTTTGCTACTGGGGAGAAGGTCTCATGGTAATCAAAACCTTCTCGTTATGTGAAACCCTTAGCCACTAACCTAGCCTTATAGTGTTCCACAGAGCCATCATTTTTATATTTAATCTTGTATACCCACTTGCAACCAATCGGTTTGCGATGAGAGGGTAATGGTACAATGTCCCATGTCTGATTTTCCATCAAGGCTTTTAATTCTGTTTCCATAGCCTTTTGCCAACGTGGGTCGGTAAATGCCTTTTCACATCAGGAAGGTTCTCCTTCCTCGGATATTCGACTAATACAACACATATGTTCTGACGATAGCCGATGAAAGGAAACATAGGAGGAAACAGGATAATGAGTACTTAGTGAGTTGAAGGCAGCACAAACATAATCTTTAGTCCATGTGGGCGGACGAGAAACACGACCGGAGTGTTGTGGTGGGTGATGTTGAGGTACAGAAGGTGACTCATCAGTAATATTAGTTGCTGAAAGAAGCATCATTGAAGAATCAAAAGTCTTTTCAGTTGGCATGATAGGGTCCTTAATTGAATTATTCACGCCTGTTGTGTGACTAAAAATCTCATCATGTGTTGAAGGCGACGCTGGAGATGATGCTTGATATTCTGGAGGTGCATGTAGAATATAATGTTGACCACCAAATAAATCCTCTTCAGATAGAAATCTATGAGGCTGTTGTCGTGCCAGAATTTTCAGCTGAAGATATTTCAACATGAAAAGGAAACACATTCTCATGGAAAACAACATCTCTACTTACGAAGAAATCGACGGTGGATATCTCAAGGACACGATACCCCTTTTGGAGACTCGGATATCCCATGAATATGCATTGACAAGCACGGGACCCATTTTGTCCCGAGGACCCACAGTGGTGACGTAACATAAGCAACCAAAAACTCTTAGGTGATGAAGTTCTGGTTTCTTCTCATAAAGTAACTCAAACGGAGTTCGTCCGTCAAGAACAAGAGTTGGCATACGATTGATTAGGTAAGCTGTTGTGACCACACAATCTCCCCAAAAAGTTTCAGGTATAGAAGTTTGGAATTTAAGAGCACATGTAACTTCTAAGAGATGATGATGTTTATGCTCAACAACCCCATTTTGCTATGGGGTGTAGGTTCATGAACTTTCATGGAGGATTCCATGGGAAGAGAAAAGAGATGTGCATTCATTATTGAAGAATTCCCTTCCATTATCTGTTCGAATGCGTTGAATAGATTTCCCAAATTGATTTTTTGATAGAGAAAGAATATTTTTAGGTAAAATATAACTTGACTCTTTGATTGCATGAAAAAGACCCATGTCGCACGGGAGTAATCGTCTACAATCGTAAGGAAAAATCGAGAGCCATCATGATGTGGGGTATGATATGGTCCCCTAACATCAGCATGAATCAGTGAAAAAGCACTGCTAGCATGAGTTTTGCTTGTTGGAAATGGAGCACGTGATTGTTTGGTTAGAGGACAAATATGGTGTTAAGGATAAGGAAAGGAAGCACTGTGACCCAATCTTTGATGAGAAATGGAAATTTTATCATTGGTAGTAGTGTTGCATAATGATCGATTATTCAATGGAATACAAGATAAATCGAATTTTTTTGGGAAACTAGTCCAAAAATATAGCCCTTGTGAGATACTACCCAAGCTCATCAGTTTGCGAGTCGAAAGGGCCTGAAAGAAACAATTATCAGAGTTGAACATGACACGGCAAGAATTTTTCTCACAAACTCTTGAAACAGAAATAAGATTGAAGTGGAATTCTAGAACACAAAGGACATTCCGAAGTGTAATGAGGGGGCTAAGATTTACTGTGCCAGTCATGATGACGTACGTGACATTTCCATTTGGGAGTCATATGGATATGGGAGAAGATAATTGTTCATGGATATCAAAAAAACTTTTATTGCAGATAATGTGGTCACTAGCACCTGAATCAATTATCCATGCATCATTTGATATGAAGTTCATTAAGCAATAAGAAATACCTGAAAAACTTCCAGTTTTGCCAGAAGCATCCAATTTCCTCAAAGCCTTCATAAGTTGCTGATATTGGTCATGAGTAAATTCCTTTTCCTTTTTTCCTTTGTCCTCGGGCGTTCCATGCAACTTCCAACAATTATCAATTGTATGATGCGGACGTTTGCAATATTTGCAAAATAATTTACCCTTCCCTTTAGAACTTTGCCCATTATTCTTTGATGACGTGGCAAAAGGTGTACCATTGGATGATTTGTAGGTCGGCGCTGACGTGGCTTCATATTGTCCGTCCGATCCAGCAGCTGAAGAGAAATAATAGGAGCTGTATGATCGCGAGGTGAGATATGGGCCATCCATCCCGGGTCTTTTGAAGCTTCTTTCTTCTTCCTTGATGAACCCTAGATCAGCTCACCTCCTTCCTTCGCTCTTGATCCTATTCGTCGGTCCTCTATGTTGAGGATTGGCTTGAGCCGCGAGCAAAATGCTCTCCCTCGCCTTGACATGCTACGGCGAGGTAAGTCGTTGGCTTTCCTCCTATATGGCAAGCTGATGAATCCGACTGAGTGACGGCACGGGGTCCATCGCCAAGATTTGAGACCGAAATGAAAGGTAAGTGTCATTCAGGATTAAAAGGAAACGAGTAACCTTTTCTCTTTCCTTTATCGCTTTGTACTGTTGCAAGGTTGAATCCAGCCCTTCAAGCTTTTCTTCGGCCGCTTCTAGCTCATTCCAGAGCGCCGAGAGCTTGTTGAAGCATGCCGTGATAGACATGTTTCCTTGCTTCAGTTCGGATATTGCTTGAGTAATTGAAAATAGCTTCGCCCGATCCAATTTTCTGTACATTTCTTTTATGTTTTCCCACATAATATTTGAGTCCTCTGTTGGAGGAAGGCCGGCCGCGACATCTGGGGATATGCAATTTCCGATCCACGTTCAGACAAGCTGATTGGATTTTTTCCAATGTCGGGCCAGTCATTCATCGGTCGGAACAGGGACGGTTTTGTCAAGAAAACAGTCTTTGTCCTTTGTGATAAGGGCTCGCTGGAATTCCTGTGACCACGTCGAATAATTTTCTAAGCCGGAAAGTTGATGGGTAATGAGTTGTATTTCTGGTCCGTCGACGGTGGAAGTGTACAGTGGGTTGCCGATGGCGGCTTGGAATGGAAACAGCATGAAACCGGGTGGAGGAATTGGGTAGGGATTCATACCCATACCCGAGATCCCTGGTTCTAATGCTTGACCCGCATGTTGTATTTCGGGCTAGGTGTTGGATTTGCTCCAACGTCGACTGGTGGGCTTCCTTGGTTATGTTCTCCTTGGCCTTGAATGACTGGACTTTGGAAATTGAACCATGGATTTGGCCCATACCAGAATGGATGGAATGAACCCTGCATAGGTAGCCACTGGGTGGGCTAGCGCGAAATGGGCTGACCTTGGTTGGGTTGGGCCTGGACAGGTTGCCCTTGAGTGGGTTGAATAGGTTCTTGACTCGGAATCACTTCAAGAACATTCTCCATGTTGTCCTGATTGTCTTCTGGAGTTCGATTTTCCTCAGATCTTGAGGAGTTGTTCATGGTATCGGTAAGAAAATGTTGTTTTTCTTCTTTGAATTTTGCTCAAAAACTGATTCCTACACCGGAGTGCTAACCTTGTTTTGCATATTAGTGTTTTTCTGCAACGAGGATAGGAAGGAACGGGAGGCAATCAAAAGAAGGGTTTGCGGAAGCTATACTAGAATCAAGAAGCTACACTGGAAGCTCTGATACCATGATACAAATCGAAGAATTGAAGAAGAAAATTTGTATTCTATGTATTTCAACTTATCTATTCTTCAATATATAGTACAAAATATGAATAATAAAAGGAAAATCTCTCCTAGGCATATCAAATGAAATCAAGTCTAATCCTAGATTGATTCATCAATCAATTACAATTTCGGATTGATTTATCGTATCGATTACAATCCGGACATATTTGCCATATCTTCAGGCATATTTTCCAACAGAACAGAACGCAACATGATGCTCCTGGGGAACCAGAGATTGTCATTCTTCATTGTAGAGGCATTGTTTGAGCTCATATTCATATCGCACTAAAATTACAAACCAAGGTTGCTTGAGTGCCGTCGTGTTGTCATCACCACTTCAAGGTGAGGGTTGCAGCCCCGCCATAAATCTAGGCGAGGGCGGTCGTGGCCAAAAGGGGCTAGGGCCACGATTGACCTCGCCTCTCCTAGCGAGGATCGCTGGACTCTCATTGGTGGGTAGGTGGCTTCGCCATTGCCGCTCAGGCTTCGTCCCTTTCCCGTGGTGTCCCCGATCATCAGCCCTCCACCACTTAGCTGTATCAATATCTTTTCTTATTCAATATCGGTGTGGTGTTAACATAGATGTCCATGCACGATGTGGTCCATGGGGAATATTTGTCCGGAGCTAGGGCCACTGGATCTGGTGCATAAGAATCACAGATCTTGTGAACCCGCATGAAACCCACAAAATCAACAGTTGCGAGCTACCTAATCCAATGACCGGTGTAGGAAAGAAATTCCCTTGGTTTAGACGCTAATTTATCGGTCAAAGTACACTTTGCAATAATCTTAATTATCTGCCTCATGGAGCATCATATTATAGAAATGGGTACGGACAATCCGATCACATTTGTTTCTCTTTCCGGTTAAAACAACTCAAGATATATTTTTGAAACACAAGGACAAGAGTGTGGGTGTATCGATGTTGTGTACTTGTGTCTATATATATTAATATATATAGGTCACTGCTGGTACCTGTAGCATGCCAGCTAAGTTTAGTTTTGTAATGACAGCTTTTGGATAATAAAGATAAATAAAAAGATCCAGTAACACTTGCAATTTCTATGCACCAACAACCCACAAAGATTCAGACTTTGCCATTAAGACTTTGACTACGGTTCATACATAGTTCCTCAATTCCATGGACATTGTTTGTTCTCTCTCTCTCACAGACACACACATATATACGAATATGAAGGAAAACTATGAAATAATTTCGAAGTTTCAAACCATGTTCAAACTGACAAGTCAATCGCAAGTATTAATCCTTAGATGATGATCTGATCATCAGTGCGTTCCGTTCATCCGAGACGGGCTCATTCGACAGTCAGTCAAAAAATGGACAGTCACGCTCCAATAATCCATTGGATTTATGAGGTTCGAGTAAGAAGGCAGATCTATATACAATCAAAACTGGTTTATGTGCTCAAATGGGATTTTAGATGATGCGTTTGGCAGACGCGTGTCATGTGAAAGAACAGTTCTTTCAGATGGTCCCCTTTTCAATCTTCAAAAATGGTGCTTGACGTGCAAGCAGAGGCTAAAAAGTCAAGGTCAGATTCGTGGAAGACGCCGCGAAAAGAGAGAAGAAGCACAGTCAGCTCACGCCTCCACCTCCTATAAAATCCTTCCGTTTCTCCCATCAAACATTGCAATATCTTCATTGGAGCTCTCTCTCTCTCTCTCTCTCTCTCTCTCTCCACCATGACTGCTCAAGTTTTGCCCGAAAAGGTTGTCCAGGATATCAGTCTGAAGCTGGGAAATGAAAATACTACTCCTTGCCCTAGAAGGTAAGAAAGAGGTCATCAATGCATCATTTCATACAATATTCTGGCAAGAATGCACTAGCTCGGATTGATTTTCACAAGCTATGTGCTTACCGTGCATAGTAATATACTGCACATATCATCTTTTGAATGCAGAGTGCATAAGAGCAACCTTCCATTGCAATAGTCCCAACCGGTTGTATTGAATGCAGTACTTTTTTCATGTAGGTTGGAAGGGAAAATAGCAATTGTAACCGGCGGAGCAAAAGGAATTGGAGAGGCCACGGTTCGACTCTTTGCAAGGCACGGGGCGAAGGTCGTCATTGCCGATATCGAGGATCTTCTCGGGACCGCACTTGCCAACTCGCTGTCTCCTTCTGTTACCTACGTCCACTGCAATGTTAGCTCGGAAGAGGACGTCGAGAACTTGGTGAGCTCCATGGTCTCCCGCTATGGACGCCTCGACGTCATGTTCAACAATGCCGGGTTGCTTGGGAACCAATCGAAGCACAAGAGCATCATGGATTTCGACGTGGGGGAGTTTGAACGCATGATGAGCGTTAACGTGAAAGGCTTGGCACTCGGGATAAAGCACGCAGCCCGTGTCATGGTGCCAAGGAGGAGCGGGTGCATAATCTCCACGGCGAGTGTGGCCGGGGTCATGGGAGGGCTCGGCTCTCATGCTTACACGGCTTCAAAGCATGCCATTGTGGGGCTCACCAAGAACGCGGCATGCGTGCTCGGCAGGTATGGCATCAGGGTCAACTGCATATCGCCGTTCGGCGTGGCAACGTTGATGCTCGTTGACTCGTGGAGGAGCGGTGATGAGGAGGAAGATGAGGGCATGAGTTTTGGGGTGCCTAGTGAGAGAGAGGTGGAGAAGATGGAGGAGTTTGTGAGAGGACTGGCCAACTTGAAAGGCGGAACACTGAGGGCTAAGGACATTGCTGAGGCTGCTCTGTATCTTGCAAGTGATGAGTCCAAGTATGTTAGTGGGCACAACCTTGTTGTGGATGGTGGGATAACAACCTCAAGAAATTGTGTTGGCCTGTAGAAAAAATCTCTTCCTCTTCAGGGTTCTCTGCTTGCTAGTGAGCTTTCTCAGTGTTCATTTGTTTTTTTTTATAAATAGCTAGTAGCATTCTTTTAATTGGCTCACAAAGGGAGATCTATTTACAATTATATCTCTTGTATGTCTTTCTTAAATGTATATTAATGAATTATGATTTGCGAAATCAACATCATTTGGATTGAACATTTTATTCTGCAATATCGTAGCAGGTCGTTTTACCAGCAGACGTAACGTGTAACGACTACTGTCATATATGATATGAAAAGAATTACCGCTCCCCCAATTCATAATTCCATGATTTTAGCAAAATTAAAAAGGCACCAATTATTGACTTTCCAATTTTGCCATATCAAAAAATGGAGGTTGTGGAAAGAAGATATTGGTATGACTTCCTTTTATATTCTATTATACACTAATAGGGGAACAATCTACTCAATTAAACCAGGGCATTCAGATATACTTCCATTTAGAGTCAGTCCATAACAATCTAAACTTGGTAAAACCCATGATAAGTTCAAGCTATATTACCATAATTAGAAACTGGAAAGTCAATAATTGGTGAGTTGGTGCTTTCTAAGGGAACTGGCCTGAATAGTATAGAATCGTGTGTCATATGAACATGTTCGGTATGATGGCAAATACTTTGCATCTATAACAACCAAGTAAGGGAAGAAATCTTGAATTTACAAAGGGAAAATTATTTCAGGCGCAATTCCCCTAAAAAGTACCAACTCACCAATTATTGACTTTTCGACAAAAAAAAAACCAATTATTGACTTTACAATTTCTAATTATGGTAATATATCTTGAACTTATCATGGGTTTTACCAAGTTTAGATTTTAATGCACTGACTCTAAACGGAAGTACATCTGAATATAAAATGACCTGATTTACTAAAGAAGATTGTTCCTCTATAAGTGTATAATAGAATATAAAAGGAAGTATATATGTAACATACCATACCATATCTTCTTTCCACAACCTCCATTTTTTGATACGGCAAAATTGGAAAGTCAATAATTGGTGTCTTTTTAATTTTGCTAAAAAATCAGGGAATTATGAAAACTAAAGGAATCAAATCTTAGATCTTAATATTCCATAAAAGCTGGTTACTACCAATCCATGCTGCTTCTATTGGATAATAAATAGAAAAAAAAGGGAAGAAATCCATATTCTTGTTTTTTATGTAGTCGAGAAATAATTAAGTATACATGAGAAAAATTTTCTAGAAAATTGCTTCCGCCCGCATAGTAATATTTCTGTATGAAATATATTGATTATTGGATATTGCTTGACTGATCCCCCTACATTACTTCAATATAGTTATGGACACCAGGGAAGTCTGGACGAACGCAAAAGCCGACAAGTAAACCTAACATGAAAATTTGTGTGGTTTGACTGTAGAGATTACAATTAGTTGAATCACACAACTCTCAAATATTTTTTAGATAAGTGTATTGGAAGTTCAAAAACTTGTCATGAAAGTGCAATTGAGTCATAAAACTTTCAAAAAGTGCAATTAAGTCCTAAAACTTATCATGAAAATGTAATTGAGTCTTAACACTTTCAAAAAGTGCAATCAAGTTCTAAAACTTGTCAAATTAGTCCAATCAAATCCATCCACTGCAATTTTTAAAAGTTTTAGGATTCAATTACACTTTCGTGACAAATTTTACGACTTGATTGCACTTTTTGAAAGTTTTAGGACTCAATTGTACTTTTGTGACCAGTTTTAGGATTTCCAGTGTGCTTATCCTAATGTTTCCTAAATTACATCGAATAAAGTCACAAGAATTAATGAAAGAGAAAAGGGTAACGACAATGGTAATCCTCGAAATGTTTTAATTTATTCAATGGAGCCTTTGAATAATTTCTTTGTTCAATCTAGTCAATGAACCTTAAAAAATCCCCTCAATGTCCTTTCGTGAAAATTTCTAACACCGTTAGCTAACGCGGACACTATTTCTGTTAACTTGCTTCTAGATTGGCCATACTAATATCCATGTGGGTTCATCCTTATAAATCTCTCTCCTCTCATAGAACACTCTTGATTGCCCATCACTCAGAAATTCGAAGGACGCCACCAGTTGTGCTTGCCACTCGCCATCGTCGCCGCTGACCAATACCACCATCACACCATCAAACTCGTCCGCGATCAATCATTGACGCTTCAACCTCGCTTTCGCCTCTCTCTCTCTCTCTCTCTCTCTCTCTCTCTCTCTCTCTCTCTCTCTCTCTCTCTCTCTCTCCATATAAAGATATTCGTGTTGTCAGATATTCGAGGTTGTCGAGAATCTCATATTGACC